TAGTTGGAAATAGCTTGCTTGTCGCATGACTAATTTTTTAAATTTTTTACAGCAAAAGCTGTTACGAGATGAAAACCCGGATTACGCGCGGCGCCATAGTTGTCCGGCGCCGTCGTCACCAGTGTCCATAATCACATCGCACGAAATTAGAAAAAAAAGCTAGTGCCAATGACAGTGTGGCTCAAACCCTGGTTCGCTGGGTGCCAGCCCAGTATTCTACCACTGAGCCACGCCGGTGCTTGGGGCTTGTTGGGAAATTTGCCTTAGGCAGGCTTGATGTCGGGAAAGAAATCGCGTTAATGCGACCTATAAAGCGTTTTAAAACGGCAAACGAACGACCAGTCGTCGCACAATACGAATAGCGTAACCAGTGGATCGCCAAATGCTCCAACCCATTACAAATGCTTGTTCTTGTTCACCTATTAACTATGGCGTATGCTCACTCAAGGAATCATTCCTCATCGTCGTCAGCCACTGCATGAACAATTCTCACAAAATTTCTCGCAAGTGCTTAGTGGATAACTCGCTTCTCAGTAGAGTGACAAAAAATAGCATATCGAATGCCAGCCTCTGACCCTAATATTTTTATTATTAATGCCGTAGCGGGTGTCTAGTAAGTGCGCTTGCAGCAGTTGCCCAATGAGTGTTTAGAAAAGGATCTGAAAGGCCACTCTTCTGGCTTTCGATATGACTGTGCTGCGCCTTCTGCGCAGGCCGGGCGTTTTTTTTTTTTTACTGTGACCTTTGCAACAAAGAAAATGCTTTATGCAGCGTTCTTATAGTTCAATTTTGAGTCGGAATTCAGCACCATTGACTCAAAGGCATGCCAGTTGAATCAAGAAGCCATATGCCTCAGAAGCACGACGATATAAAAACAGATAACGTAGCCATATAAAGAAGTTGTATTATTGTGCGTAGCGCGTGCACTTGAGTCTGAAAAAAAAAAAGGTGTCCCTGCACGCTTGAGCAATCACTGAGTTTTTATGTGAATTTCAGTTTCCCTCTGCTCCTTACTTTCTTTTTAACCTTGAGACAAACAGCAACGAAATAGCAGATATTGATCCCATTCACTACGTCCCTTGAAGAACGATTGTTTCATGAAAGCTTCGATTTCCGTGAAAACAACGGCAACAATTCAGTATTGTCTGCTCGATATCATTTTAGCGATAGGCGTTGCATTATACGACGCGCATTTATATTTGCTTGCTTTAGGAACCTTGCGAAAAAAAAAAAAAGCTGGACCATTTTCTCGGCATGCTTAGCAACAGGTACACTACTCGCGTGCGTTCACGGTAATCGGCATTTTCTGTTTAGGACGCCACAAAGGCTCAAGTGTAGGTGGTATGCTGTGGTTTCCGGTGTTGTCAACCATAAGGGAAAAGCGAAAAGTTACGTGCACCAGGAATTTACTGAAACGAAGCTGCGGAATCTTAGACTCAATACATGCTTGAGACTTTTGGAGAATTTTACTTTGTGGAGCATAACATGATGCGGGAGTGTGATTGTCTAATCTCAGGGACTTCCTACGCCTTCGCGTGGCCGCACTTAACTTCATAATTCATTGCGCAACACTAGATAAGGGCGAAGGAGAGAAACAACACGAGCAATTTTTTATCCACCCAACTCTGGGCTGATTCCCCTGAGTGGGTATGTGGCAATCTTCTAAAGATTAACATTATAATCATCATCACACTTTTCTTCATACTTGTCTAGCATTGCATATGGAATGATGAATCTGTACTGAGTCGCCCAATCATTTGTTATTTTGCACATAGCTTAACGAGGGCCACCACTTGCATTCAGAAATAATTCCCCGCATAGAGACCTGCCATATGGTGTTTCTTTACTACCTCATACTCACCAACATGAGAACCAGCTAAAAATTCTTAGTCAATGAAAATAAAAGGAAAATTAGTCCCATTAGTCTGTTTGCGAGAAGGCGGCGATCTGTGCGGAAAGACAGTTTGAGGTTTCGTATTCAGAGAACATGTCTTTCAACAATGAATTGAACGTGCCTTTTTTTTTTAAAGACGAGAGTCTTTCTTGGGGACCTTCGACGGAAATATTTGGTCGGTCTGTCTGCACATTTGTCTCTTTGCCCGCCCTAACGATACATCAAACAGCACCAAACGGCCAACCCCATTCGCCGCACCCACCAATATTGCTCAAGATTTAGCGTTGATAGTTGTGCGATTGTCAATTAAAAAGCAATTATTGTGCATATCTGAGGCGCTATAACAACACGTCTGTTTTGTATGTCTGCCTTTATACTAGAAGAGGCACAAACAAGGAATGTAGCGTTTATCGCGCTGCGCCGACAGTGCAACGCGATGCTCAAAAAGGTTTTTCCAACACTTTGCTACGACGTCACTGGTGGCACCTGCCCGTCGTTTTGCGGTCTACATCTTATCACCTCCGAGATTGGCGTGCATCTTTCTCCGCGGTCACGCACGCCTGTTTTCGAAGATAACTGCCAGATGGCGCTTGTATTTAACGTGCCTCGATGCGCTCGTTCGCCTCCGCCACACGTTCGAAACACTCTAACGCAGCGCCTCCAGAATACGCTTCACCAATTTTCTTGCGCAGAACATCAAATGAAGCGTTTTGTTCATTCTCTCCAGACACAAGACTATAGTCTTTTTGAGTGTACATATACAAATGGTTTTATGATAGCTGTTTGTCTTACTCAAAATTATTATTATCCTTGTTATCATTAGTAACGCTGATTATTTGCTCGATAGGTGTACAATTGTGAGCTTACACACGCGTCACCAAGCTTTTTTTTTATTTTTGATTGCCTTGTGAGGCGAAAAAATTTGCTTGTATCAGACAGATAGCGTGTGCCGATCTTGAAAATATCTTGACGTGGTGTTCCTTATACTTCTATGTTAGTCATGTACGACAAACGACTCCCTGGGTGTATAACCTGTCATCAGAGTCACGCAGCAATAAACCCGTTGAAAGTTAACGCTCACGCTTTTTTCTCGTCTCCTCTCCGACAGGAAGCCTCGTTTTCCCCTTTATTCTGTTTTCATTAGCGCTGAACTTCCACAACTTCATTGTATAGACCCATTCTATGTTTGTAAACATGGTAGACTCTGAGTGACGTCATGGTGCGTTAGCTTTGCCCAGTAGTCCCGGCTGAAAGCGCGCCACCTGCCACTGTGAACACGTGACGACGAGTGGAGCAGGTGCGCAAGCTGCCTTCGAGAACAGCGCGTCGGGACACCTTTCGCATGTTTACAAGCTGCGGCCACTACGGAGGAAGTTGCAGTCGCTGTAGGGGAGATCTGAAATGAGCATATGAGCTATGTGAACATGTAGCTCTAGCTTTGAGAACCTCATCAAACACGTGAGGTACCTTAACTGCGGAAACGTAGCTCAGTTGCGAAATATCGTCGTCGTTGCTGCAGCCTACGTCACACGTGCACACTTAAATTTGTACAAATGCAAAGACAGACCCAGTTCTGCAAGAGGCTCTAAAGTACAATAAGCAAATGCGTGGTTTAAAAATACGTGGCCATGAATCGTTACGGTAAATCCTCGCATATAATAAGTGTGCCAGAGAAGTTATTCATGCAAATGACCAGAACGACCTCGGTGACACTCTTATCCGCAACACGCTTGCGATAATGCTTCAATGACATGCTCTGGACAATACGGTTACGTACTTGTAAGGCCCACGAGTCAATTCGTACGCTGAATCTGACACCGCGAAATGAGTATACGACTGGACAAGTTTCTTGCGGGATGCTTTTCTGTGAATTCACACAGACGTGAAAATCTAGTTGAAGCGCACCTGAGTCAGAACCGGACACTTGTGTCAGGTGTGTCATCGCACAGCCGCATATAATCATAAAAAAACAATCGTCTAAGTTATAATTTTGGTTCGCTGCTCTTTAATGAACAGTACCGAGGAAGAAACCAACACATGATCGCTCGTTGGCTCGATGACGAGTGACAACCTTTAGTTTACCTCAGTTATGACGGAATATCAATTTGAGTCCGTGTCGAAGACTTTTGAGCTATATCAACAATGGCACGAGTCAATTCCGTATACGCTGAATCTGACACCGCGAAATGAGTATACGACTGGACAAGTTTCTTGCGGGATGCTTTTCTGTGAATTCACACAGACGTGAAAATCTAGTGAAGCGCACCTGAGTCAGAACAGGACACTTGTGTCAGGTGTGTCATCGCAGCCGCATATAATCATAAAAAAAACATAGTCTAAGTTATAATTTTGTTCGCTGCTACTTTAATGAACCGTACCGAGGAAGAAACAAACACATGATCGATCGTTGGCTCGATGACCGAGTGACACCTTTAGTTTACCTCAGTATGACGATATCAATTTGACGTGTCGAAGACTTTTGCAGCTATATCAACAATGGCAACCGTGGAAAATACTTCGCATAATAATGCTATCCAGAACGTTTTTGAGGTAAACGTGCTTGATACGCCTCCATGGCTTATTAAAAAAAAAGCGTGATTCCATGGTTTATTCCACCGCTTGAGAGAGCTAATTGCTTCTTATGGGTAAGCCGCTCCAAAACATAACCGGTGAAGTGGCGTCGAAGGCAAGTTCTCGCGTTTCACAGCTGCGGTTGAACGGTGACGGTTTTAGTCAACATAAAGCGGAAAAAAAAAAGACCTGGTCCATCTTTTTTGTGCCTTTCCGTGCAAATCACCATGAAAGTTCGTCGGTACAACACTCTTTCTTCTTAGCACGGCCACAAACAGCGCATGCACCAGCGAAAACACAGCAGCAACTGCGGTAGGCGCCGCGGCTTTTGCCTACCAAGTGAAACCAAACGCCCGACAACAGCGCCACCGCATTCTCGCATTTTCGGTGAAATTTGTTTATACCCACTCATTTAAACTTATGTGCTTGTGAACGCCGTAACGAAGACAACGGGATTAACAGAATCCACTCAAATGAGGAGTGGCAGCATGCGTCATAGAAGTGGACTGGTGAACTGCGCAACGAAATGCCGTACCACGTCGCTGTAGGTCGTCCAGTGTGGTCCCAAAACGTTGGGAAATGAGATGACGGCCAGCAGGATTGAGTGTACAATCAAGGACGCCACGAGATTCTTGTGCACCCGAAGCCTGGAACACTGCAGGGACCTGCGATGACAGAGCAACAACACGTAAATCATTGAGCGCGAGCCGTCGCCGCCGCTATGCGCGCACGTCGCTTTGCAGCCTTGTCTATCCGCCGACCTTCTGAACACACGCGCGCACCATAACGGCTTTTATTTGACCGGTGTGCCATGCCCTGGCTACGCCAGTGGCAGTCACCTCTGCATGAGCGCTGCCAAATTGATTCGTAATCACACGTACTTGCAGTTACTGATACAGCACTTAAAGGCACATGGTATCAGTGCGAAGAAGAAGGAGCATGTCACGCATCATTGTCACGTAAGAAGTCCCTAACAAGCGTGAAGGTCTCCATCCCGCCACTTCTAAGGTAATTCTATCTGCAGCCATGTTATTCTTCGCAAGCGTTTGGCCTGCTTACAACCCGTAGCCTTTGTAGTGATGAATGGTAGTGGTGAGATGCCGTGTAGTCTGCATGTAAATTTTGCTGTCGTTAAGGGTGCGTTCAGTTAAAACATAGGAGAGGTTGAAAGGAGAGAAATGAACTAAAAAAAAGTCTTAGTAGAGATAGTCTCCCCATGACAAGGACTAAACGTTCATTATGAAGACTAAGACTATTTGGTTAGCTTCTATAGGTACAACAATTTATTAGGCTTAGATAAGATGTAAAAAAGACATACGGCATTGCGAAATCGGAGGCAGAGCGTATGGACAATGTCTATTCGCTAGCAGTTGATGCCCCGTAACCATAACATGGAATATCAACGACATGCACACATGCCCACAGGAAAGCCAGCTAGCAAGCAAGGACAAACGTCCCTTGCCTTTACCACTGCCGTATTGAGAGTTAACCGTTCACAAACTCACAGTATACGCCTGTGTGCAAGAAGACTACATACAATTAAAATCTCAACACGACCTATCTGTACACAAGAGCCACTGATTGAATCTTCTGCACTGAAGCCCGATAATAACACGGAAGTCAAAACGACAGGATAGTTGCGCCCTTTTTGCTGCATTCAAACTCCACCCTACTGCGTGCTTTCGCAGACTTCTCAAACTAGCGCTTTACGTGCAAATAAATAACCGTACATTCGATAGTTCTTTTCGAATAGATTGATGTAATTCGCGTTTTGGTCGTCGATTCCAGTTCCTGTTTCCCTTCTTTCCACGCCTACCACACTTATTCTTTGTTTTACCGCGTAACTCGGTCGTGATACATGACAGCTTGTAATGAGACTACGCAGAGAATAGCGCTTTACGCATCTGCCACGCCTATGAACAGATTGTGTAGTTACCCCCTTCCTCCTCTACCCAATGTTTTCGTATATTACGTTACGGGTGCCTTGAAGAGATCGCAGTGAAGCCTTTTTTCCCCATACAATCAACCTTGCTGCAGGCACTGAAAACAATTTCAGGGGTGAAGCTTCTTAAGGCGTTTCTTACAAGACAGCAGAATTGCTGACAAGTAGCAAGTTGTACAACACATGTTCTTATTATGGGCAGTATCATATGACACCCATCATGTGTGTGCTGAAGTGAATGACGTGTCGACTGCTTTGTACACACGAGCGAATACATCTTCATAAAAACCAGGCGTGCGCTCCGCTGTTTTGTGCTGGTTGGATCGAATATGAAGGAGGGAAATTATCAGAGACTTCATTGGTTGACTTTTGAACATTTCCTTAGCATTGTGTTGTGATATGTGCGCATGTGTTGTCGCGTATGTGTGCTCGAGTGTTCTATTTTACATACGCTACTTTGTATGTTTTCTTTTAAGGTACGTGTTCAACTTTCACTCAAGGGCTAAGGAGTAGCCAGTGCCATATTTGTGCGCCAACAACTCCTTATATATCGTATCAATAAAAAAAAAAGACGTCACCTGATTGTTCTCCGTATTAACCACCTCTCTCGGGTATGTGCAGCAGGGGATAGACTAGTTCTTGGAATGTCCGCTAGATGGTGGTACTTGTATATAATCAATATATGATGAAAAGATGTGAGATGCTACTTGGATTGTTCACTATATGGACGTACATACAGACAGACAAGCGGACAGGCGCACGGACGGACGGATGCACGAACGGCCAGCCGGACACTTCGCCCCACTCATCATCATTCAGCCCGTGGATATGCTGTGGTTTTTTTATTTCTTCTCATCTTGCTTCTAGACACTTAGGTGAAGTATAAATAAAACATTCGTGGTCAATGAAATTTTATGAAGATGGTAAAGTAGCACAACATCCTATTAAACCACAGAGGAAAATTTCATCGTAGCTATTTTTATACATAAGCTCAACACGCAACAGACAATGCAACTAATTACTAAAACGATGGTATCGATAACAGACCCACTCAACTAATAAAGCGACCTCTACATAGGAATGCCTCTACCTTCACCATTTAGATTGGCGGGCACACCTCCACTCCAGAGGCCTCGTTAATTAAGTTTTCTTCTCATTCAAAGGATAATTCTTGATTATAATACCAATAATTCTCTGAAACGGTGGCATGAGCAAGCGCACCATTTAGACAGCGGGGTGGTCCAGTAAGCAGTCTCATAATTTTTATATGACCTAAGCCAGAGTCTGGTCATTTGTCTAAATTGCATTCAAGGTGCAAGCGAATATCATTTCATCACTCTGGTTCAACCTAAGCACAAGCCTCAGAGTGCGCATCACCTTCATTTGATAATAACCGCTGCGATGTAGTGTAGTTATGGTTTATTTCTCGTTCCCTGATGCCAACCAGTGATTAGTGACTATTACCATGTGCGTCATGTTGCAGTACATCCGCGCCATATTTGTTAGGTGAGATACGCATGGATGGAACGCGCTAATAACTTCTAATTTTATAATCTACCAGAATGCAAGCGCACTCCAGCATACACCATCCTTCATTGCTGACAACTTGCGCAAAACAGTATTTTTTACCCCCTCCCTCTTTTTTGTAATGAACTAAGAGCACAAAGCAACAATTAACGTTTCGTCAGTCAAGTGAAATAGATCATACGTAATTTCATTACCTTGGTCACACCGTTATGGGAACGCTGGCACCATGAACGCACAAGTTTTAACACACAACGCAATCACACTGGATCTTCTGGTCACGTTTTGCAGCCGCCCAAATGATGCTGGGCCAGCCCGATACCTGTGAAATTATCTGTGTGGCTTCTTTGTTTGTGGTATCTTTATAATCTTGTATATTTAAACCTATGGCAACACAAGCTTAAACAAAACGTCATACTTCACATCTGCGAAAGACAGCTTACTGTAATTTATGTTTTTATTTATGTATGTATTTATTATTTATTTCAAGAAACCTATAGAGGCTCTTAGTGGGAGGTATTACATATAGGAGTAAGAAAGAAAATGCAACGTAGTAGAAACACAACAAGCATAAAAATTGCAAAGAAAACCAGAAGTGACGCTGCACGTATTCAACATACTGAAAAAGATCTTTATAAACGTAATGAGAAACAACAGAATAAAACGATAATAGAGCGTGAAATAACAAGATGGTTTATTCAGATCATAACACCAAACTTGGTTTTCACAACAAAAATTATTATAGGAATCATCCTGTCATTTCTATGTGAATAGACATGAAGCGTACCAAGGCTGATGATTTCTTGTTGCGCTTCAGATTACGAGACGAAGACAGGTGGCAATTGCACACCACTCGTCCTGTAGTCCCCGTCTTGTACTCCTCTGGTAATTCCAAATGCAACAAGAAATCGTTAACCACTACCATGGAGACAATGTCGTCGCTCTGCTGAGCACACCAACACACAGGTAAAATCTTAGAGAGGAACTAAGCATGTGGCTAGCTGGGATCGCCGTATTGCAGCCGTTGGTGCGCTGACATTTGCTAAATAGCTTATGGTATGCGTCTTTTGGTGGCCCTTTTAGTTTCTGGGGCGAAGAGAATACTAGAGCACGTCACTGGAGCTGACGCTTCGGCAAAGTGTGCACTCGCCTTCGACCTCTTTGCCTTAAACGTCAAACGAAAACCTTGGCTCTCGCAAGATTCACTGTGCGGCAGCTTCTCATCCAATCGAGCCTGCATCTGCTCCTGCACGTGCGTCTTATTCGCTTATCTTTGTCTTTGCTTCTTAAGGAGGACCTTGTAAATGTCGCACTGTCCTTGAAAACCAGATCGTAGTATATATACCAGAAAAAAAAGTAGCGGCAAGGCCATCATAATTTGAGTGTCAGGTAACTATAGCAGGTATGAACGCTCACCACTTGTAGGCAATCAATGATAGCCAAAGTGCAACCTTAGCGGTGATTAGCCATTGTCACTGAGACGAGTCATGATTGCTACCGTATTTGACAGCGCGATGTCTAGCGCATACGTAAACATTATACGTACGTCCATTTTCCCTGATGACGTACATAACTACAACATATGTATGCAGCAGAAACTTGTTAGTGTACGGAGGCGTTCTGGAATGAGCCAATCAGCAGGGCCATCAAGAGCAGACGCCTTTTTCCCTGAGCCAATCACACGTTGCTCGTGCCTTAACGGGCTCATGCCATATAGCTCGATTCCGAAACGGCGAGCCGCACTGAGGTATGAGCAGAGATCAGCTTTCACGTACATATTCGAGGTGACCATCGAGAACAACGTGGCTTATGGAAGCCAAAACGGAGGCTCATCATTGCATTTACATCTATTTACATTGCATTTACATTGTGTGCTAACTAGGACACCTATGCGAGGACAACAACTCATCAAGGCTTAATTGGGTGAAGAAGCTGTGTCATGCATGAATAAAAAGAATATTTCGTGTTAAATATCAGCAGCCAATCACCTTAAGTGCTACAGCAGAATGATATACATTTTAATGTACTCGGTGATTGTTCAATGCATTTCACTCTTCTCAGGCATTAGCTTCAAGACTGAGTGTGAACTGAGTTTGAAATCGCACGAGCGATAAAATCATCACTCTTTTCTTATCTTTCGTACCTCGCTAGCGAAGGTTAGAGACACAGATACAGGACTGCTACATGCAACACTCTATT